TTTGTTTTGGTCCCAACTACCAATACAATTTTTTTGGCATGCTTAATTGGTACATCATGTATTTTACCCCAAAGCTTCTGTCGTCGACGGCCGCCGGTGACGGTCACTGTCAAGTGTCAACGGCGGACCACTGCACTCCGTTATTTATTATGGACGTGGTTCCCTTGGGGCCCGTCAACGGCGACCGCAGACGGTTCCAGCGAAACCGTACATTAACGGAGATATAGTGGACTAGTGGTTAGGTAAACATAGCAACAACTGTCACAAAAATCTTTATCACGCATTTGACGTATTTCACATGCGAACGGTCATAAAAATTGTAAATAATATTTTTAAACCCCTAGTATGTAAATTTGACCTGCTTTAGATCGAATTCAATATAATCAAATTTGCGAAATAGCTATCAAGGGTCAGTGTTGCACAACTTCACCTAACACATGAGACGCCACTGAACCTCAACCCTATTCACAAAAATGCTGTCGACGTTGTAAATGAATTCATTTTCGTAGTACGTTCATTTGTAAAAGTTGTGTGAGGAATTATTATTGAAAACAATTAGTAACTATTTAGGTCTGAGTAGTAATTTCTAAGTAATTACCGGTATATCATTACTCGGAAAAATTCGCATTTGTCATCATCAGTTTATGAGTGGGGTGATTCAAGGTTTACACGTCACAGATATTGCGAACATATAAATAGAGGTTAAAACTTAAAGTCCATCTCATTGTTTCAAAGTTTGGTGTAAATCGCGTTGTTTATAAAAAACGTTTATGTTCTATACGCTGCAAGAAGAACTTTTGCTTAACTTTAAATGCCTGTCTTTAACAAATTCGTTAGAAACTGCGTATGGTCCGGACAGCACAACAGAAACTTTATACCAGGAAGAGAGTATTGGCGAATCGCTTCACTTAACCAGGAATAAGTCGATCTATGAGGAAACGCCTTATGAACGGGCGAGAAATCTCGTTCTAAGAAAATGTGGCCAAGAGAAACCTCTACCGTTCGAAGAATGTTATCCGTCAACGTAAGTTTTAATGGTACTCGGAATGTAGGATGTTATCTAAGCGTAAATGTGTCATAGAATTTTACAACGATGTCGCAAAATCGGCGAAGGAGTATACGGAGAAGTGTTCTTGTACAAAAATTCGGATGGGTTTGGTACCGTTATGAAAATTATACCCATAGAAGGAAGCCAATTGGTAAATGATGAACCGCAGAAGAAATTTCATGAAATTCTCTCTGAAATTGTTATTGCAATGTAAGTATTTTTATTGATTTTAATCACATTGAGGTTACTGTTGTGTTGCGTATTACAAATTCGTTAAGTATAAATCAACAAAAGTTACTAAATATGATTTATTGTGGTATCGGTTTTGATTTGTTACAGTTACCCTAATAGAATTATGAAATGTATGTAAACAATGCCAAATGTTTGTTCTCTTTTATTAAATAATAGTCAACGTTATTCTATGCTGCATAAGACAATATTAGGTTCCTATATAAACCTTGATATAAACATGTGAATGTTTATAAATAAAGTATATTATTATCAAATAATTATGATTGAAGACATATTAATACTGAGGATTTAAGAGGTAAAATGATATGAACCTTTGGGAATGGGTCTTGCACTTGCTCTTAAGAAAACAATTTGTGAAGGTGGTGTATCATGGTAAATTGTTTTTAAGTTTTGGAGGTACCTGCTAAGTTTGTCTACTGTGGTGGTTTACACATTCAATTAATATGTGGGTAAGACAGAAAATCCTTGAGAAAATCTAAAACTAATTGTGCTTTTTTTTCAATTTTCATATGAAAACTAGCACTTTGCCCGAAATCAGCTGCTCAAACTTCAGAAGTAGGTCATGTTTATACCAGTTGTCGAGCGGGCAAATGCATTATGTATTTGTGATTCTATTGTATGGTTGGCTTTTCCATGGCAATGATCAAGAGAATGTAAGAAATGTTTAACAATATAAAACATACAAACATATTGTGATAAATAAACATATAAAAACAAAAGTCGAGCTCTGCTAAAATAAAATGCAATTTAAAGTACAGTAAGTGGATTGATAAAGACACTAAACCTTCCCCATACTTCTTTTTATCAATCCACTTATTCAATATCACTCCGTTTTGAGTCGTTATAAGATGGATAGCTACCAATTAAAGTACAGTGGTGGTATGCGGTTTATTTGGGCCGCGGATTATCCATGTCAATGATAGCGGGAATCTATAGGGTGTTATTTTTTCAAGGATAATGTTCCATTTTATACCCCTGATCATTCTTTAGGTGCGCCCCTGGTAGATTCTAAAATAAGAATTTCATTTTCGTTTCGTATTTGAGACTTTTCTTGAGAAAAAAAAATACATTTTCGGTAGTTAAATGAAATTAAAATATCCAGTAGGCCCCGGCTGTGTTTTGGATAATCTCTTGTTTTTAATAGTTTTGGCAATTTGCATTTGAAATCCTATCTTGTGTATCCATAGACCATATGTTCATAAATTAAAGGTTTAAATTGTAAAGCGCACAGTGAAACTATAACACCTTGTAGATTTGGAAACAAAGCGTTTGTTGACCTATGTTTATATAACGTTTTAGTAGTAGGAAAATCAAATTTTTAATGCCACTGGAAGATTTTTTTTGTAAAAATGGCAGTGAAAACCGTGAAATATTTGAATATATTTGATTGTTTTTTATTTTTGGTAAGTGACATATTTAAATAAAACAGGTAGCGCATTTGTTTTAAATTGCCTGCTTTTTGAGTTCTGCTTTTTTCCCAAAGTGTACATATACAGTGCGTTTGAAATAAGAGAGTCACCTCAATATCTTGCATTAGGTATACAAAAATTAATAGACGCAGTTTGCGGGTAAACTGGAAGTATTAGAACATTGACTAGCTTAATTACCCAGCTCTTAGTGCAGAGTTTGTTGATAAAATTTTTGAAGATGGGGTTAATGGAATAGTATTTTTAGCGCACTTTTTAAGAATTGAAAAAAGTGCTGTTTGCGTTTTGTCTGTCTGGACCTACTCTACGGTTTTGAACTACTTTTAGGAATCTTATAAATAATATTGTTAATCATAGGTAATTGTAGTAACTGACACAACTTCATATTGTTTTATCTCTCATTGATATAAAGAATCATTAATACTATTATATTTCAGGGAATTAAGCAATTTGCGATACAATAAGAAAAATTCCACCACTGGTTTTTCAGAACTAAAGACTGTAAAATGTGTACAAGGACGGTATCCAGAACGACTACTGGACCTGTGGGATTTGTATGACGAGACGCACAATTCGGAAAACGACTCCCCCCAAATGTTCGGTGATAATCAACTGTACATCATTCTAGAATTGGCCAATGGCGGTATCGATATGGAAACATTTGAATTTCAAAACGCATCTGAATCTCTCTACTTATTTAAGCAGGTATGTAAAAGGAACAATATACAGGATGGTACAGATTCCACTAAAAAAATTACAATTTTATTTCTCCGCCATTTGTCAATTATCTTTTATAAAAATGAAACTATCAGCCTAAAAACTAAAGGATTCCAATGCTGCATGATCTGAGTACTTGAATAGCAAAAGAGATTAAATGTGCCATTCTGTATTGTATAGGAACTTTTTCTAATATCCATTTTGCAGATTGCCTGTAGCTTGGCAGTCGCAGAAAACGCCTGCGAATTTGAGCATCGAGATTTACATTGGGGCAACGTCCTCATTTCTAAAAGTGATAACGACAAACTGCTGCGTTACACATTAAATGGTCGCGAATTTTTTATACCAAGCAATGGCATCGAGGCATCCATAATAGATTTTACTCTGTCTCGTGTCAAAGTTGAAAACGCTGTCATTTACAACGACATCAGTAAGGATCCGGATTTATTCAATGCCACAGGAGAGTATCAGTTCGAAATCTATAAGCTGATGCAGAAAAAGAATAAGTAAGTTATAAAGTGTTGTTCACTTCGCTTTTCACATGTTTATGTTTTAGCAACGAATGGGAACATTACGAACCCTACACAAATGTCTTGTGGTTACATTACGTTACCAATCAGATGATTTATGCAGTAAGATATGCTAAAAGCTCCACGAAAAATCACAACGCCTCCTTGAGGAAATTAATAAAGTTAAACAATAACATTTTGAAATATCAAAATGTTGCAGAACTTATCAATAATGAGTTTCTAAAAGAATAAATTTTTTAATGTAATAAAATATATGTAAGACTTTTATAGTTGTTACTCTTTTCCTTGCAGTAGTTTTGATATAATAAACACTCGGCCTTGAGTTGTTGACCGTTTGTTATAGTTTGTTGCACTTAAGGGATTAGCCCTATCATCCTACAACATGTCCAAATTTTCTTTTGCACTATTAACTTTATAGTATTTCTCAATGTTGTGGAAGAAGCATAGTAACTATGGATTTAAAAACACACTTAACAAAAACGTCTATGCACAACCAGGAATCCTTAATTGTAAAGTGGACGGTCGCACGGATTGAGAGGAAACTTTTGTAACATGTGTACAAAGGAAATTTTTGATAGGCTTTTGTACCGGTAATTATAATTTATTGTATTTAAGATTGTTCATTTAAAGAGTTTATGTGGAAAGTGTGTATTTTTTTAAATATATTGGCGTTGACTTTCACATCCATTCGTGTCGTTCTTCAAAATTGCCAAGTTTGAAGTGTGGTTGCTACAGCATCTTCGTATGAAAAATCCTTGAAAATGTCTGTTCACTTTGACACCTCCATGTCAAACAATAGGGCAAACTGGTCTTTTGGCAATGTTGTTGCATGACGGGCTTGCTATTGGATTGGACTAATTATTTTTTTGTAAACAGTGTATAACAGTCACAGAATACCACACCTGAAGGTTATTCTGTACACTGTTTTAATCAATCCCATATTCAGTTATAGCAACTACCTTATATACTCTTTGGTTATAGACAAATTGCCTAGTGGCACATACAACAGTCCACCATTACAGGTCATAATGGAAACTGTATTTTGGCTCCCGCTGGATTAGACTCTCAGGACAGCCTTTGCACTCAGAACTTAAGGGATTCCAAAATTAACCATACACTAGGGCAAGCTCTGTACTGCATCCATGCAAAATTGGTGGGAATAAGTATCAGATAAAGTTCACATGTAGGAAGTGTATTGAAAGCAAAACTTCAAGAATCTGGTTGTATTGTAGCTAAGTCATGACAAAGACAAAATGACCATGAATAGTCACTAGGAACTCCCAACGTATTCTTGTAGTTGCTGTTAGGAGAGAGCCAATGATGGGAGAATCACAATACCCACAAGAGTGTGGTAGATCAAGTTACGCTGTAGCTTGTAAGAGACTCAAAAGGGCCAGAATGAGAATGAATTCAATTAATCTTAAAATATATTTTAATTTAATATAACTTTCATTTAAATTACAATATGTCACTTTCTGATCGAATATATTCACCAATATCGGCTTGATGAAAGCAAACTACAGCAAGTGCATCTGCTAGTCTACAATCGGTAGTCGATCGTGCTGCTACTCCAAAACCCAATGGCACATCTGACATACTAAAGACAATTATACCTTGGAATTTTTCGGTTGATTCACTAATTCTCCCAAGACCAGACTTTGTTATATTATGACCATATAAAAACTGCTGTTCCATTGACGGTTTCACCCACAATTTATTCTAAAAACAATTTGTGTTAAAATTGTACACAATAACACATACCCGACCTCACCTGTGCATACGGAGCTAAATAGTTAAGCGCAGTAATGTGTAGACGAAATTTGTTCGTCTTTGTAAATTTTCCAAAACATGTTCCAACAGAAACTAAATGTTCAGGTGGAATAGACTCACCAATTTTAAGGACTTTTTCTGATACGTAGTAGACGCGATCTTTCTGTTCTCTGAAGCAATATAATCCATCGGGCCTTTCGATAAGCAGTTTTATGTTGGATCCAATACTATAAAAAAAAATGGTAAAAACAATGCCAAGATTTATTTTAATTTGATTACTATAGAGACAACTTTTCGAATAATTTTTTTGTTCTTTCTTCGGATAATCGCTTCATGGTTTTGTTAAGACACTACTGTATTCTTTAAAAAGATAAAGGAATGTATACAAGAAATTGTAAGGTTATGTTTTTGAACACGTGCGCTTTGTCGGTGGTTCACATACGTGATACCGCTCGTCTCCGTTTCGTTTAATGCATTTTATCAGAATCAGAGCCATTTGTGAGCCTACTTATAACCTTGTTGTACCATGCTTATAACTACGAGCCGTGGTCATATATAGCGATTGTCGACGTCACGAAAGCAGCCGGTGCGTGTGGGCATCTACAAGTATCTAGATATGTCACAACACTGTCCAAATGCTATGCACTACTTTGTCACCCTGTATTAAAATTCTGGAAACTGTACGACTTGTACGTGCGTGAGCCACTATTTTTAGTATAAAATCCAAATATTGATAGGTTAAGTTACCGTCAAAAATACAAAAAATTGAAATGTATAGAAGTAGTTTATTTAAAATTCTTAATTTTAGCAATTTAACTGTTATTAGAGTATGTGGAAGGTTAACCTATAATAACCGAATACAAAATATTTCAGAAATTAAGACTACGTATGAGATATTGAAACATTTCGGCAGGTAACAAACAATTTGTAATGGTTAATGTAAATCTTAATCCCTCTGTAGCTGTGGTATGAATTATAGTCAGCACACGAAGACAGACCTGACTTGTGTAATAGAAAATTTAATCAGCGCATACAAGCAACGCGAAAGAATTTATGTTGGGGCAATTGAACATGTATTAAAGGAATCAAATTTTGGTGCTATTTATTTGTAATGTATTGGGGTATAACCATCAATTTTTAGAACTGCTTAAGAATCACGGCATACTACTAATGAAATGTTGTGGCCCTTTAGTAGTCGATCATACGCCAAAGGCTCGGCAGTTATTGTGTGTCGCAATATTCGCTAAATTAAAGTCCTTAAATTTAGTTGACGTTCAGCATTATAATACTTATTTGCAAGTATCCATTGAAAACAAAATGAGAATCAACTACGCCGAATTTTTGGAGCAAATGAGTTGTGAACCCAATGAACAAACATTTCGACTATTATTGAAAGCAGTTTGTGAAGTAGGAGACATACAGCAAGCATTCAAAATTGTCACAGCCATGAAGGAAAATAAATTTTTAGCGAATGAAGAACTTTTTAATGTCTTGGTCTTGGCCCATGCAATAAGGGGGTACGTATTTGATCATTACATTTATGTGCTATCACCCAACAGATCCCATGTTTACTTGATTTTATACAGGGTGTTCCACGATGAATACAAGCTTTCCATAGGAGACCTTGGAATATTTTGAAAATGTCAATTTCAACTACAATATTTTTAAGTTATACCGAAAGTTCATGCCAACTGGTTTATTTTAAATGGAACACTTTATATGTGTTATTTTATTTTTAAATTCTAGTTAAAATTCTATACACATATCATATAACGTCATTTACCTAAATTTACCCGTTTTTGATATATTTTAATTTTAATGTCAAAAGATTATGTTTGCAGCCCAAATTGTAATTACAATTACCCATTTTTTTTATATGGGACTGGTTTCCGTTTAGAAGAGTGTGCTTTAGTGGACTATAGTTTGATTATATTTAAATACAGAGTGTTCAAAAAACAACCTTTAAAATTGGATTGAAAAAATCTTTAAAACTAAGTTTTTTTAGTGGAAATCCCCTATTTTTAGAACTGTATCTTTTTACTCTGATTAAGTATGAAAAACAAGGTTAACTTTGTATAGTCAATTACGAGGTCTATTAAAAAACTTTCAGTTTTCAAAATAACTATTGAGCTAATTAATATGATTTCTTTTATAAAAATGCTCTTAAGTACGGTTTTAAGAATGTTTGTATGACATTAACAAATTCGAACCACACATACTTGATCAAACATAATGAATTGTTTTGTAAACGAATATTTACTTTGGCGAAGAAAACTACCATGGGCATAAACCGATATTTATAGTCTCGGGCGACTAAACTTTTAACTTGTCGTCCTCGAGAATATAAATATCACTTTTATGCCCTTAATACATCAATAACTATTAATCTATGCCCTAAGATACATTAATAGCCCCTGTCTGTGTAACAGGTAAGTAAAAGAAATGATATTAAACATTTTTTCCAAATAAACAAAATATTCAAAATAGTTTATATATATTATATCGAGGGTTATATAAAAGTTTGAGTAAAAATTACTCCCCAATATTCCCAAAATTTACTTTTCTTTTTTTATTTTTTCTTTTTCGGTTCCAGTTTGGAAGAGCTGCGTGAATTTTAACGTTAACTCATTGTACTGTGCGATCAAAAATGAGTTGCTGTCGAGTCACCTTTGGAACTTTTGTTTACATGGGAAATCGTATTTAACTTGAACTTCCAAAGGCGACTCGACAGCAACTCATTTTTGATCGCCCGTTATTCCCCTTGCCCCTTATGAAATTCGCTACTCAGTTCTTGGCAAAACTCCTAATAATCGCACGTTAAAATATTCGCTGGTTTACAATTGCATTGAATTACAGCGGTTTAAATGGTGTTGCCCCAATCCTCAAAACAATGCAATCTGCCCATGTGTCAGCCTCAGATAATACATTTAGAATGATAATACGTGGATTAGCACTGTATGGCGATAAAGCTGAATTTATGAAATCACTGCGGATGTACTCAAATGTGATTCAAGAAAAGGATTTTATCCACTTGCTCATGGTTTTAGGAACCAAAGGCTTTCATAGTTGGTTCTCTGAGGTACCCAGACAATAGTTGCTTAGAATAACGTCTATTAATTCAGAAATTCGCAGATGATAGAAATCACGGGTTTGAAACAAATTTCAAAGCAAAATGCGGAAGAATTTACACTATTATGCATTGCATTAATTCACCTGGGAAACTCGGAGGCAGCTTTGCTGTATTATAAACAATTTGTTGAACCAAGCAGTGTTCCAACAGGAGACTTCGCATTTCCTCTGTTGCATGAAATGGTTATTGCACAAATTGTAAATGTCGACAGAACAATTTATTACCATTTTTAAATTAATTAAAATGCATTTCAGGAACCAAAAAAGATAATCGATGTGATTAGTGATCTCAAGAAGGAAGATTCTAATACTGTAGCATTAGAAAGATTATTAGGTGTAGCCTTAAAGGAAGGATTTATGGACACTGCTTGGGAGTTGCTTAAAGCAGTGACCAATATACGACCACATTATTTTTGGCCATTTTTACTTAGAGCTAGCAAAGAGCGCAGAGAGATAGGTAAGTGTGGGGCGTGTTGCACTTGTTTTATAACCGACTTTTAGGAGTTTTGGGTGTTTTAGAGGAAATGTTGAAAATGAATGTAAGACCCGATGGTGACACATTGGAGTATTATTGCATACATTTTTGTGATACCGAAGATCCACATCAGTTGCTGGTTCGTTTACACAAACTAGGATTGACAGTTCGTGAAATTTTGACTCCACTTGTTTCGTTTCTTATTAAACAGAGTAGAATAGATCTCGCTGTGAATTTGTGTATTTGTGCTAATATGGTGATTCAGTGTGTCCCAGTTTGTCTGTCGGTATTTATGAAATGGTGGTTTTCTTTTGTTTTTGATTGCAAATAGGAAAGCAATCAGCCATGTGAAATATGCTATCTTCCTTTGTCCACTCGCGCACAAGTGGATCAATTGCTCCAATGTAAATCACTGTGTCTCTTACTATTTCATGTATACCAATGGCCAAGTTGGGGACACACTGAAAATGCACATGAAAATTATAAAATGTTTTACAGGTCATCAGTATGATGTTGCATTATCTGCACACCATGTATTGCCATCTCTTCTAAAAAATTGGAATTTTAAGACTGATGTTAATAATATTGTTGTTATTCTTAAAAAACTGATTGTTGACGCACACGATGCCGTTTCGCAGGTTTTGGTTAAGGTTTTAAAGAAATGTAACTCATTGGATCAGTTAAAATTTTACCTTCAATTAGTGCAGGTATAGTTTTGTTTCTCAGAAAATGATTATCATTCAAATTTTTTAAGGCACTGAAATTAGAAAAAATCGATATTAATCCAACAGTAGCTGAACACATTTTAAACGGGCTCAGGTCCAAAGAACCGTCTCCTATTTTGAAAGAAATTGAATCTTTGATTTGTCAATTTGAAGGTACATCTATTGAATCCTCTGCAATTCCACATCCTGTATGTTCTCCCTTTAGCATGCGAGTTTCTCAATCAACTTTTTAGCGTGATATGAATTTGCCAGAACTTGAAAATCACCTTATTCAGTTAGAGAGTAAGGGGATGGAAACGAGAGGAGTACTACGCCTTTTGATCAATGAACACTGCCGATGTGGAAATATTGAGCGAGTTTTAGAGCTAAGAAAAAGTTTTCACAGTAAAGGCTATCGAGAATCCGCAGGAATGAAAACCTCACTTATGCATGCATATATCATGAACGATCATCTTGATGACGCACTAAGTTTGTATTCGTCCATTAAAGAGCAGCACCCTAATTTTAAAATTGATGAATTTAAAATTGTTGATTTAGCCTGTCTTTTAATTAAGAGCCAACAATTTACAAGGGCCTTAGAGATTCTTAAATACGAAGCACAGTTTAGGTTGAAATCTGCCGTCTTCAAAATGTTGTAGTAACCTTTAGATTTTAGAAGAATACAGGGTGGACCTCAGTTAGTTAAAAACTGTTGGAAGCTACTTGGAGCGTGTGAGGATGAAATGGAATTGCAAAAATTGTTTTCAATGTTGATTCAACTCAAATATTGTACTCCATCGAACATTATTTTAGGACCTTTAGTTAAAATCCATTTGAAAAAGTAAGTACTTTCCCTAAGAAAAAATTAAAAAAGCCTGTCTTTCAGAGAAAATTTGGACAAGGCGGTCAGTGTTTACAAGGAATGTGTTACAAACTATAAATGCACCCCCTTACAATTGGAATTACTTAGCGCCGTGGTAAGAGCTGAAAAATTAGACTTGATGCAAGAGGTTTTAAATTATTCAGCTCAAGTTCATGGCAGTGAGTCAATGGTTGTTCCATGTATCGCATCTTTTGCTCAAAATGGTCTTTACAAAATTCTCGGAAAGTTTCTTTTGGTATACTACTCTAGTTAATTCATTTCTGTTAATCTTTGTTACTTCAGGAAGTTTCTGCAATTTCGAAGGAAGAGATGGAGAAAAGATGCGAGCGTTGGGTATACGAGAACAATCTGTTGGCGTTGGAGACTTTAGCTAAAGCATGTCAACCATTAAGATCAAATGTTATTGACAAACCAGTACTATACACTTCCATAATGAAAATTCATAGTAAGTCTTGGTACAGATATACTTACGTATATATCTAATGGTCTTGTTAATAAAATTATGTTCTTGTAGGTATCAATAATGACTGTGAAGCGGCGGTATCTTTTTATAGAGAACTTGTCCGAAATGAAATAGAGATCCCTAAAAACGTTTCTAATGAGTTACTTCAGTTAGTTCAAAGATGCAAATATGAACTTCCCCAAGAATTAGCATAGATAATTTTATTATTTTGTTTATGTTTTTTTGTTGTCAATAAACGCATCCCTATTATAATAATTTGATCTGCTAGGGCCGGTATTATATAAAGCATGCTTAACTACGTTGTCAGGTAAGTTCATAGCTCTCCGTTCATACTTTTCCGTTTGTCCGTTAGCCAATCAGAAGACAGCAAATTTTTAAATCTACGTCGTCCGTTTACGACGGAAAAGTTGGTTGAAGTTGAACATTTACGTTTCCGTTGGTCCGTTTTTAACAAGAGTGAGGTTATGTTTGGTACGTTAACAGCGTTCGCCTACTCGTTCTTCACGGTAATATGCCAGATAGCAATGTGTTCTTACTTACGTACCATTTTTACATACTGAAAATCACTGACGGTACAGTACAAAATAAAGTTTAGGTTATGATTATACTTGCAAATGTACAATGTGGACGGATTGCTATGAACCTTAACAAAATGTACTATCCGTTTGACGGATCAACGCAACGGATGAACGGAGAGCTATGAACCCACCTTTAAAAATTTACTGTGTCTGATTGGCTAACGGACAATCGGAAACGTATGAACGGAGAGCAATGAACTTACCTTAACAATGTTGTTAAGGCATTAGGCATGTGATTGTTTCTTTGCAAAAACATCCAATCACATATGGCTGAACAACATTGTTAGCCTGATAACATATTCAAGTATGTTTTATAATACCGACTGTAAGAGTAGGAATTTTCCTAGGCTGTTGCAAAAATAGAAACGTGTTTTTGTAATTAATACCTATTTGTAATTCCTACATAACTATATACTTTCCAAAATTTTATAGATATACCTATTTTAATAGGCAATGTCGCTTGTCAGTTATCACAAATGTTTACATCTTGACTTGGCAGCACAGACGCAATAACGAAGTTCATTTGGACCCAATTTGCTATAGGTACCAGGGTGTTATAAACTCGATACACTAGCACTGCTATCTTGGTAACTATAAGAGGTAGAGAGTTGGATAAATGGAGGCAGTAAGAACCCATATGACTTTTCGGTTTTTGGTGGTTCCAGGCTCCAACATAAATACAATAAAATAATAAAAATAACACACAAAATTAAAGTAGGTACCTACATTATTTTGGGTTTACTTAGGAAACTTCTTTACTTATAATTTACGCGTTCGTTTCACCTCTGCGTGTCGACTGCCTTTCTACTCTCCTTTTCTTCTGCAGTAGGTTCAACTATCGCTTTCCTCACACACTCTTCAACTCTACTGTTTTTGATTGATTTTCGATATTAGTCGCTCTACAAATATTTATGTTCGTTTAGTATGAAGGTTAAGTTGGTAGAAATTGGTGTGGTAGCTCTGAATAAAGTGAAAATTTTGATTTTTGGCCTTTGAAATTTATTGCAAGTTTTACAAATCTGAACGTACCTAAGTCGCAAATCAAGATTTTATTTTTGACCTATAAAATAAACCACACATTTTTCTTTGATTTTATTGTAGGGAATTTTCTAGAGCGATATCAAGGCGCCATCAAGTCGAGAAAGGATAGTCACCGGCGATAATTTATGAATAAAGCGGACGTGGGCGTGTTCGTTCCTGAAAGAAGGATAATGCAGATGACTCTAGAACTATCTAGAAGCGTTTCGTTTGTTACATAAGAAAATTACATTCTGTTTAATAGAACTTCGAATATCGATGCCGAAGTGATAGAAGTAATAGACATATGAGAATAATATGTCTATGGATAGAAAAGGTGATATTCGTGGTCGTGTTATAAATTTGAGTACATGTAAGCGATAAATATAATATCTGTTATAAATTAATATATTTATTAAGGAGTAAGGACCGTTTAAAAATTCGTTAAATAATTATTTAATTAAATGTTAAAGGTAACCTAACGTTTGTGCTCTGCAGATGGCGCAGAAAGCTTTTCCCTTTCTAAAAATTGTGTGGTTGATGCCAGGTCTGAAAAATGTGTGCACCGAATCGTAAGTTGTAGCTAACAGGCGCCCAAAAATGAGTTCCTGTTGAGTCACCTTTGGAAGTTCAAGTTAAGTAAGATTTCCCATGTAAACAAAAATTCCAAAGGTGATTCGACAGGAACTCATTTTTGATCGCATTGTATATGCAGGGTACAACTTCTCACATGTAATAATTTGTTGTTTCATTATTAACGAAGCTGTGTCTGTCCGTCTGTACGTTAGCACGATATCTCGATAACGAGTGGACCGATTACGATGAAATTTTGTAAGTGGATTCTTTATCAAATTTGTAAATCGGAGTTCGGAATTGGCAATATAGCGCAAAAAATAAGGAAGGCCCTTTTGACATCTCCGTGAGTTATGAACCGAATTGCATGAAATTCAATATGCGTATAGCTTTAGCCATATAAAACGCAATTCCAAAAGTTACGCCTAATCGATCAACATTCACAGTGTTCTTTTCCTTTTCGCATCTCGACCATTTACAAACCGGATTGAAAACTTTCTTATTTATGAAGCATTTAAATGAAATTTGATACATAGCCATTTGGAATAAAAGCGCAAATGTTACGCCAGTTTCAAAATTTGGTTTTGCGCATGCGCTGTGCCAACTTTCTTATTTATGGAAGAATTTAAACGAAATTTGATGCATAGGCACTTGGAATAAATGAAAATCTAACGCCAGTTTCAAAATTTGGTTTTGCGCATGCGCAGTGCCAACTTTCTTATTTATGTAGGCATTCAAATGAAATTTGATACATAGCCACTTGGAATAAGTTAAAAGCAAATGTAGCCCCATTTCCCAAATTTGGTTTTGTGTAGGATGTGCAGTGCCCACTTTCTTATTTATGGAAGCAATATTAAATGAAATTTCATACATATACACTTTAAATAAAAGCAAAACTAACATCAGGTTTAAATTTTGGTTTTGCACATGCTATAGCCATACCCAGGAGCTCCTTTTCTATATTTGTTTAGTTTATTTAAAATCTGCATTAGGGGTTTATTTGGTACTAGGGACACTATAAATTAGGCGAGTTGGGATGATTTTGATTTCCGAATGTGTCGTAGTTATTTTTCTGCATCGTAACTCGTAAGTGCTACCTACCCTACTTACTTTTTTGCTGGTCTAGAGATTTCTGAATTGATGCATGTTAAATAACTATTTAGATGGAGTGTTTTGATATAACGTTTTACATTCTGAATGCAAATGCAAACATCGATTAAATAACCTTGTCCTGATTTTTTTATGAGTTATGTTTGTTACAAAAAAATGCTGAAAGTAGGCTTTTAAATCTCTACTAGCTCTTTTAGTTAATGACAAAAAAATCCATGCCACCATGTCGATTAAAATTTAATCGACAGTCCAAGCCACCAGCTATAACGTTTCTACCACAACATTGACCAAAGTTTGTTTTCTGTTAACTAAATAATTTTCTTATTATACTTAATAGACCGCATTCATTAATTTAATGAATATGAAATATCGTTTCGTTTCTTTAGAATACTAATTATTACCCTTTGCAGAATAATGTTAATATTATTACATTTCCAATTCAAATTTATCCATTAATTAGGTACATAAATGTCCTGTTAAATTGGCATAGGTACCTATAGGGTAATATTTACGTCACTCCCCTAATTTAAATAATGATGTCAATTTACCTATACCTACTACCTATTAAATGTTTAATAATACTCGTTTGCATATCTACTTACCACCTACTTTATTTATAGAAGTTATAAATGAAGGGTTGTATAAGTATACTTATACGTAATATAAAGTCATAAAAATACGAACGACTACTTAACTGGAAAGTCAATAGTACGGAAGTGTAGAGCGAAAATGCCCAAGATATTTTTATAATTAGGAATTACAACTCGGAGTTGATTTCGACTTAAAAAATAATCCTAATTCAATCATCGAGATCGTTTATAATTTTGTATTGCTGTGTCCGTCCGTCTGTCTGCCCGTGTGCATGAACCTTTGTTTGGAAACGACCGATCGAAACCTTTGAAAATTGGTACACATATTCTTAAGGATATACGAAAGGCTGGTAGTGATTTTCAGCCACGTAGAGTACCGATCGGATCAAAAAGTTACAGCCCAAAAACGATTTCGATCATCCGGTATTAATGCGACTTCGATAGTAAGTCCGCCCACAAATGGCATGAAAAATTTAGCAGAATAATGATTATAATTTCATTTACAAATAAATAAATAAATTTATAAATTATAAATCATGTGAGAGGACGAAAGTAGCAGCATTTGGCAGCAACCTGGGTGTTTTGTCGGCGGACCGAATGGACGGGCGGAAGGACTTTAGCGCCACCAAGGGTACTGCCTTCGGCGGTAGGAGCGGTATATCGCATCGGTCTCGGCAGCCTCAACCGGAATAAACGGCAGTTCCAGGAATTCTAAAGGGCAAGCGTCGACCGACTATTAGTAAATGCTAAAACAAAATTAAAGCGCACAGCAATTTCCCTAAGCGGGAACAGTAACCAATCGGATTCGATAGCGGTATTTACGGGAAGGTAAATGCAGGAAAACGAAATAATATCCCCCCCCCCCCTTCTTATAATTAATGAAACGGAAAGTAAAGCTTAACCTTGTAATTAAATGGAGCGGTAGAAATTACTGATGTGTAAGAAAAAGCATGGCCTTGCAGTTTTAATACACATTTTAATTTACCATACGAAACAAAACAACCTGATAATAATGGCTTAACGTGATTGAAATGACAAAATATTAATTTCTCCTTCTTCTAAATGACAAGAACTTTCGGAAACAATGAAGACAATTGAAAGATCTTGATGGGAACGGTTACAAACGGCGACTTAATTGCAGCGGCTGAAACGCAACCCTAGAAATTAAATCAATAGCGTCTATCTTCAATTCTTAAACAGAAATCAATATTTTCGGAGCGACGATCTAAAAAGCATTTTCTTTCCAAGATGCGCAAAATATAAACATTTAGCGGTTTCCTGGTGCCTCTCTAAGGTGTTCATGAGCCTTGGGATACTGTAAACACACGTTTTTGTGAAGGGTATGTCATATTGCTGCTGAGTTACCGGGAACTGAAAAGTAACGTAACTGCAAAATTAGATTAAATGTACATTCTCGTTTCGTTTCGTTGAACAATTTTACTTTTTATACGTTTACCGATATCGTCTTAAGTTGTTACCCAAATTTTACGCCCCCTAAACGATTGCGCTCGTAGCCACTGCCATGTTCTCCACTAGCTATACTTTCTGCTTAGAATTCTTAAAGCTCACATCACTTTCAAATCGTTTTTGTGAAAAGTTCCCGTGTTACTTCTCCATTAAATTGATTCATTTGGTGTTTCAATCAACTCTAATGCGATGTGATGTGGACTTGTGTGTGGAGTAACAAGATTTAAGAAAGATACTCGGGTGGGTTGTAGGAAAAGTAGGCGCCAAAATAGTATATTAAGATACAAGTGTATAATCAAGTCTTTAAAGCACGCGCAACGAGTTTAAGGGCACGACGCAAAGCGGAGTGCCTTTAACGTTGCAAGTGCTTTAAAGACTAGTTATACACGTGTATCTTATAGTATTTTTTATTATACCTGCAGTATAATTTAAAAATAGGGAATACAATGAAGTCATATTGACGTTATACTCGAATACGTGTCTAATCAACTGGGCTGGGTGTTCGTAATTTCACGATTGCCATGGAAATGTCACTTGACGTTTGCTTATAAAAATCATCGTCTTTGTGAATTAAACGATTTCCATTGACAATTCAACTCATGTATAAAAAATCACATAAGCCGCAGTGTAATTGTCACTTTGACAGCGGCAAAAGTTACCTGCAACTTTTCCAGCGACAAATGCACTAGTGGTTTTTTCACTTATTCATTTTCGAACCAATAATCGCATTATCCTTACCCATATGACTAGTTTGACGTCAATAATTGATTAGTTTGGTGAATTTCTTGTTCGTTAAATTGTCCTGCCGAATTACACTCGAGGTTTGTATTTAAATCGAATAAATTTGGGTTGTGGCAATTCAAATCTGTTTCCTTTTAGCAATTGGACTCGAAAAACTGTCAACCTAAAAATGCTCCACCTGCGGTGTCGCATTTTTATTAGTTGACAGTTTTTCTCGTGTAATTGCCAGGCAACAGATTTTTTTTACCTAAACAACCCAAATTTACTCGGTAAAATACAAACCTCTTGTGCAATTATAAGTGACAATTCAACTCATGTATAAAAAATCGCATAAGCCGCAGTGCAATTGTCACTTTGACAGCGGCAAAAGTTACCTGCAACTTTTGCAGCGACAAATGCACTAGTGGTTTTTTCACTTTTCATTTTGGAACAATTATCGCATTATCCTTTCCCATATGATTAGCTTGACGTCTGTCAATAATTGACTAGTTTGGTGAATTTCTTGTTCGTTAAATTGTCCTGCCGAATTACACTCGAGGTTTATATTTAAACCGAGTAAATTTGGGTTGTTGCAATTCAAATCTGTTTCCTTTTAGCAATTGAACTCGAAAAACTGTCAACCTAAAAATGCTCCACCTTCGGTGTCGCATTTTTATTAGTTGACAGTTTTTCTCGTCTAATTGCTAGGCAACAGATTTTCATTACCTTAACAACCCAAATTTATTCGGTAAAATACAAACCTCTTGTGCAATTATAAGTGAAAAAGATAATACACCGCCCATTAAATCGATTGTTGTAAAATCTAAACAAACGTTGGTAGGTGTAAAATCCAACTCCGGTAAAGCCTATTATAAAGAATATGAAAAGTTGTTTCCATAGACGAATAGGAAGTTACTTACGAATACAGTCTTAAATGCATCAATAATGCTGGCATATATGAAGGAAATGTCAAAGGTATTTAAATCTTCTATATTTTGGTGCATTCATTCAAAACTTTAAAGCAGTGCTGCGATTAAAAAGTGGAACAGATTTGGAAGCATACCCTAAACTACGCGCGTTTGTGAAAGCTTCAACCAAAGGATAGGTACAAAAGCCAAAGAAATGTTCTGCATTTACAGAAAGCGACCTAAGAGGATTTTTTATTTCATCCAGATGACAGTTTCAAAAGTCATACTTGAAGTATCGTTACTTAGCAACTTTAAAGCACGTGTGTTTTAAAGGCCCTTTTTCGCACGCATTTGAGTGTTTAAAACGGAGATTGTGATTCAGGTATAATAAAAAATGAATTTTATTGTAATATCACTGTTTATTGTAATATCGAGTAGAATTTATTTTAATCTGTCGAACTTTAACCACCTGTTGAATTAAATATTGTTTAAGAAGTTTAAATTTTTCTTGCTTCCCCGAGGTACATTTCGACTTCCATTTATTGATTACTAAATTAAAGGTGAATTTAAATGATTTATGCATATAAGTAATCTTATTAATTTTGGCTAAATATATAGATTTTGCGTTTCCCCATCCACATAGTTTATTATAAAATAGATAGATTGTTTTAAGTACCTATATCTAACCTAAGGAATAGCATAGTGTATGAATTACACTATGGCAATAATAGGTATCTATGTAGGAGCATCTGTAATCTAATGATGATTGACCATTACCATTGCAAAAATACCAAGACTTATAAATGTACCTATCATCAAAGCTATCATTTACCCAGTGCCGTTTTATGGCAAGTCCTGAGGGGCCCCCAAAAGTTTGTGTGAATGAAAAAATTTTTGTGCAAAATCTGCCGCCTTAAAGTAAATGCAGATTTAAACAAAATTAATGCATATTGCATAGAGTAAGGGATACCGGAAATTCTAAAATTCTGCAGATCGTGTATATAAGGTTACCATTTAGAAAGTTAAAAAGTCCTAATAAGTGATAAAAAGCCTAAAGTGGGTATTACACTGAGGTTTTGCCCATGGGTAAGACATTGACTTTGCAGTTCAATAAAATAAAAGTCCGGTCATTTTCGTCACAAAATGCAAACATTGTGCCGTTTTTATTGAGGGTAAGGAGGGCCTCCACGAACGAATGGCCCAGGGCCCCGAAAAACTTAAAAACGGCACTGCATTTACCACTGTTAGTAAAATAGTAACATATGATCGCTCTAACTGCAGGGTATGGAGCCTTTACTCAACAACTGTGATGCTAAGTTTCATGGAACTTGGAACGTACTATTACCCTCTCTTTAAATTATATAATATGTACCTAGTTTATAAATATTAAGTTCATTGCTACTCGTAGCTGCCCATCCATAAACCAGCAATGTTACCTGTTAGGGTAGAGAACACTGAATGGAAGCAATGTCCAGTAGTCCAATAGGAAAATCGATTAAAGAAGTTTGTTATGCGTATGTATCCTGGCGACCGGCCACTGCTATGACCAGATGACCAAGATTGACTTTAACCTCTTTTCAGTAGTCATTTGTACTATACTTATGTGGTGATATCACCTACAAGATTCGGTACGCGAATGCGGCGAACTATAGCGAAAAAGACGGAAAAGTTTGTATGCTTTGTTTTTAAATATCGTGAAACGTCGGTAAACTATTAATTAATTTAAATTAACGAGGGTCAATAATGCTTTTAACATGACACGTTTGTGAAACACGAAATCCATCGAAAGCAATAAAATAATAATGTGTGAGAATAATTGATTGCGATTAGGGTTGGCGTGCACACTATTAAACGACGGATGTTACGAAGAACATTTTCTTTATAATGTGGTGGTTCTTAATATTACACACACCACTTATGGTCTTATCTTACCCTCGATTTGATCCGACCGCAACTATGCAAAACGCATTGGTACCAGCGGACGCCGCAGTTTCTTCTGTTATTTACCGTTTACGTGCCACCGATACCTCATTTGATTTTCCTTTAGATTTTCTTTTAGAGGGCGATAGTACAATTGTGTCTTTAGAAACGTTAAATTGCAGTCGATTTAATTCGGTCTGTCAAGCTAATGTTGTACTGCAGAAGAAGTTGGAACCGGGCAGATTTTATGATTTTATTGTAGCCTTGAGGAACCCAAGAGGTATGACAGTAAGGATGAGGTGTTCTTTTCGGGCAACAAATGCCACGACCCCCATTGCTGACATATTTCCTGGAGCACCGTCGTTAATTCAAGTGTCAGAGGCTGCGAAGCGAAATACGGAACTAGGTGTCGTTATAGCACGCGGAAATCCGGCCCGAGAAAAGGGCGCGTTTGTAGAATTGTGGGGATCGTCTTTGTTTGGTCTCAGACAACGTCTTATTAATGAAAGGGATGCTGAAGCGGCAATTATACTCATTGGGTCTTTAGATTATGAAACTCAAAGATCGCATCACATTACCGTTTTGGCCAATGTATGTGATACCTACACTCAAAAATTGTACGTATACTGTGACTTGTGTTTTAGGATGCATGGACCGAGCCTGGAAATGATTCACGCAACATCGCAGCATGGCCGTTATTAATCGCAGTTTTGGACGAGCAAGACACCCCGCCAGTTTTCACATTGGCCCCCCCGGTAACTGTGCTGGACCCAAATATAAAACCGGGCGATTATATTTTAACAGTTCATGCAGAAGATGGCGATCGTGGAAATCCGAGAGCCATCCGTTATGGTTTAGTATCAGAAGGAAATCCATTTACTTCGTTTTTTAACCTGTCTGATGATAAGGGTAAAGTATTGATTTTTTCTGTAAAGCACTTGCGGTTTCGTGTTAGATTAAACGATATGCAGCTTCCGGAACTCGTGCGGTGGCCTCCTTCACCTTGTAATTTTATTCATATTAGCAGCATATTTTTGACTATATTTGGTATTTTTTTTATGTCACTTAGACGGAAAAGACATTTTAATTGTCAAGGAAGTGAACTTTAAATTGCATCTCAATGTGATAATTGAAGTTACGCCCCTTCCCCTACGGCTCATATTTCTTGTTAAATAATCGCTAGTGGTGACTAGTTTAATTGGGTTCAAAGTACTCTGAATTACTTTAGTCACGGTTTCAAAACTTTGCGTCTAGATTCTTTAAAAACATGTTAGTCATAACTTTCAATTGTAATATCATCTTCAGTACTCCATAAAAATATTTATAACAAGAAATTAAGCAAATATAGCAAAAGAGCTCCTATGGCTCTAGCTTGGCATTGCGTATAACCTATATGGCCAAAGCTACGCTCATTTTGAATTTCATCCAATTCGGTTCATAATAAACGGAGAAGTCAAAAGAGCCTTTCTTATGTTTTGGCCTATACATTTCCAATTCCCAAACTCCGATCTATAAAGCAAATAAAGAGTCCACTTGGAAATTTTCAGTAGTAATAACCCGAGGACATTGATAATTGTACGAAAAAATTTCATAACAGATTTCAAAAGCTTGTTGCTTGGAGGCGGAGGTCTGTTTCCAATAAGCAACAAGCTTGAGAAATCTGTAATGAAATTTTTGAGGATTTATCAATGTTCGATGGTTATTCGAAAGAAAATTTTTTGCTTTTTTTAAAAATAAATGCAAACACAAAATTATTTATTTAAAGGTACAATTAGTAAATGAACAATTCGAAAAATTAAACGAAGACCCAGAGGTGTTAGTTTCAATAACTGACTATATGGCTATATGGTAGAATTTCCGTTGCAGCCCTTAAGGAGTTTTCATCCCACAAATTGATCATTTTGTTTACTTCTGTCAAACTTAATGCTACAGAACTTTGTTTTCTTTTAGTAGGATCAGACTGCATCTTTCGCCGGGTCAATTATAACATTACTTTCCTGAAAAAGTGAAAATACGTTTCTTGTAAAAGCTTACTTGTTACATTCCACATAGTTTTGACCGTAGTTTCTTTAAACTGTGTACCATCTTTTCTTCTCATATTCACGGCCCAATCTTTTAAAATTGACGCCAATTCTACCGTTCGGCTTCCATCTAATACATAATTTCTAATACTGCAAAAGTCCATAAAAGCTTTCCAAACAAATTTCTTACTGTATACAGTATTTCTGGGTGTATTTGACTCGATAATTGCGTTTATCTTCTCATCATTATCGCAACCAAATCGTGACATGTTGAATTTATATTAATTTATGTGAAACTTCAAAATTGACATTTATGCGTATCTGTAGCAACGAAGTGAAATCAGCCCATGGGATCTGTTATCAGTGTAATGTTGCTGTAATTGGATATTTTTATTCACATGACCTCAAATATATAAATTTCATAAGTAAGCAAAAAAATTTCATCGTAATCGGTTCATTCGTTTTCGAGATATCGTGCTATCGAACAGATGGACAGACGTAATACGTCAATCGCAAGCCTCACTTTCATGAATCATCTATTCGCTTTCGAGATATGGTGGTAACGGACAGATATTACAAAATTATGAACTCACTAGTCACTAGGAGCTCGTTAATAAAGGAGACTAGGAAAATAAACCTTTAAGATGAAGTAATGGTAATGGTATTACTTGTTTTTAATAACATCTAGGCGGTAGACTGTTGTTACAATTATCTGTATCTGTAACGTAACATATCCAATACTAATCAATCTAATTGCGTAGCAATAAATCAATTAACATTTGTCAAAGGGCTACAAATTGCTTTGCGTTGATCAAATAACTCCGACAATTTAAAATATTCTAAAAAAATTGGGTGTGTAAGTAAAAGTAACCTAAGATAATTGTGTATACCTACTCTTTTTATTAGAAAGTGATTACCTTTATGGTGGCTGATGGCTTAAAATATCAAATATTTTTTACACGCAAGGAACACGGGATCTATTAGGTAACCTTACTACCATTAGATACTTGAAATTAACCGCAACTACCCTCATATTATTTTTCCAATTTAGTTATTGATATTGAGATGATTATGTTACTATCAAGTAATGATGATATTATTTTACTAAGGTCAATGTAACCTTTTCTATTTAGATAGAAAATTAATTTAAACATACTATGAGAGTAAAACTACGAACTAAAGTGAAATTCAACGTTACGCCTTTTACTGACTGTTCAAATTCTAATAAAATTGCAGTGTACCACAAACGCTTCCATTGGATTAACACCTGTAATTAGATTATCTGGCATTATTATAATAAAAATTCATCCTTTTTACAACTTTGTGACTGTCGGAAATAATTTAGGCTCCTATTTTATTTGCGCGAACTATTTCTAAACTGTATGAATTATAAATCACTTATGATAAATTCAGATCAAACCTCTCAGATCATTGTCCTACCTTTTAAAGTACGGTTAGGACATTACCCTTATAATTGATTTATAGGATCCTCGCATCTCTAGTATTATTATGATCATTCTGATTCTTAAAGTAAAATGTAATTCAAAATAGTGAGGACAGGAGGAGGAGGAGGACAACACACTGTTAAAATGTAAATAAATTGGATCTCCTGAAAAATTAGTTGCTTATTTTTAAAAGAAATGAACAAATGACTTATAATTGTAGTAGGCAGATAATAACACACTTTAAAAACAATAGAAGTACCTATATCTACCCTTTATAAAATACCTTCTAACGGCTTAGTTACATTTACAAGGGTTATGAAACCCCGTATTTGCATTAAATAACATTGAACCTCTACGGCACTGGCAAACATTTTACTGTAACAATTAATTCTATTTTATCCACGGATAGCTATATAATAAAAATTTTAAACAGCCCTTAATGAATTGAATATATTAAGAATAAAAATAGTTTTTCCAATTCCATTGTTCTTTCCATCTCTCTTATTTAAAAAATATTAGTTTGATTCGTAAAAAAATACTAGAAAATGCAACTCCTATTTCGTATTCACGTACCAATACTGGATTTGTCCCTGATCTAAACTGTCATTTTCAAAATCACACTCCTTAATGCTAAACAGATTTGATTACAACCAAAGAACTGGTATCACTGAAACAAACTGTAATTTCCAACAATGAAGAAAAGGTTTTCGCCTTAAAGCGAGTAACTTTATCGCATTTTCCATGAATTGATCAGTACCTACTTCCCGAAAGGTCATGTAATGATCTATTTAGGTGTACAAAGGCAAATAAATTATGGCATGCGCACACCTGATGTTCAAAATATGCGGTATGTTTGCTTTTACTAGAAGACTCTTTGGCAAAAATTTGGAAAAAAAATGTCTCTAGAAAGAAAGGTGACATTGCGGTTTCCGCATCCGCACATCTGAATTTTACAATATGCGTTATACTCAGATAACGAATCATGCTATCCTCCCTTGGAAAAAAAAAACAGCAACCTAGAAATATCACACATATACGTATATCTGTGGAAATATGGAAAACGGATCGCTTCGTGCCGGTACTTGGCATCGCCCTTACTCGTATCTGTTTGTTGAATGGAAATTTCAGTATAAAGTTGTCTGTATGAATTACGGATACAAGCAAACTTGCATCAGGTTGTGGCATTTTTGAGATCTTGTTTATGTACAGGAATAAGAAGCCAATCCCCGCTGTACGGAATTTTAATTTTACCCATTTATTAGTACGTTGCGACCTACTTTTCCTACTTTACTCTCTAGGCTAGCTCAGATAAAAATGGTTTAATAATGGGGATGAACGCGTCACTTTAAATTACACATTCGCGGTAAAATTAGGGAAAAGTTGCGCAATTAAACAGATATTATATCATACTTTAAATTTTTAAGAAAAAACAGAAAATTCCGATTATTTCCGAAGGTATCTTTTACAAACTACTTTAAAGGACGAGATTGTTGCCTTCGAGCATGTGAAATTGTGACTAGTGACGGTACCGTGTTGCGCCGACCAGTTCAAATATTGTATTTATTTAATTACAGTATGTTGCATTTTGTTATGTCCGCCAGCGTATCGATGCCCACAGAAACCGCAATATTCAAAAACTGACTCCCGGTGACGTTCTAGTACTTTAAATGGTACCTACTCTAAACTACGAGCATTATGAGAAAAATAGCAACACCTTGAAATTTTGGCGCCATTTCGGCCTAAATATGAGTAATCTCAAAAAAAGAAGAACAATTCAAATATTTGAAGCCATTTGGGCCGAAATATTTAGACTTGGCAATAGGCATTCAGCGGCCTCGAAATAGGGGAAAACCACTTGTACCTCAATTGTTACACGAAATGCTTCTAGCATTTGGATTTTTTCAAAAGTAGTCCTAACCCTAGGCACCAGGCACTTATTTGAACGAGTTGAAAAGTTTTTAAAATTTAACACATCTTGAAAACTTGAAAACCAAGTAACTCGACTCATTAGGACCTGACGGGGCTCTCCCTTGCGCACCGCATTACACAATCTTCTAAACAAAAGTTTTTAATCCTTTTAGTTTCGTCCCTAAAGGCCCTTTTCTATTTCACGCAATTATGCATTTTTTTTCAAAGAGCGTTTTCACAAAACTAATTCCTTTAGCCTTAGCGTGTTCTCACTCTTACTTCTCACATCAGCTCTACGAAGCAATGTATTTGATTGTTTTTGTTTTGTTTGGTCTATGCACTCTATGCGATTGTGGTGTAGCACCAACCCACGCCGATCCCGTTCATTTCTTTGCGTAATTCGGAGGCGGAATCGGGAATTATAAGCTATAACTCAAAGGTAAAACTTGAGTTTGTGGTCCTACGTTTTCATAGATGCTCTACGTTATAATTATAGATTAATTCATTAATTAAGCTTAAAATCATTATTTATCGTTCAAAATGTGATCATTCAGGTATCTTTACCCTATATTTATGAATGATTTATGGAACGTGGAACTTGTCTGGGTCATCGCTCATCGGACATCAATTTCATTACACGAATTCGATAAATAGGTCACAGACAAACTATTGTTTTTCGGCTAACATTTTAGGTGAATATGTATATTTATTTCTACGAAACGAGCTACCTACATTATAAGTGCAAAGGTTAATAAAAATCAATGCGATTCCCTTGAGAGCGAAGGTTTTCCAAGCAAAGTAAAAATTAGTTCATGATTAGCGTGATAACCCCAATTTTCCTGAAACTGTTTTTACAGTTGGAAAACGTGAAGATGGTTTACGTCAATACCATAAAGTAATTAATTATACAGTTCAATTTGCATTTCCACCACAAGTCGATGTTTGAAAATTGGCCAATAAATAAATTCTTATATTTTTTCTAGGTATACTAAGACTCGCAAGGCCCGTTTCCGAGATTCAAGCAATATCGCATGTTGGAGCGCCCGTTATTTTGACTGTAGTCGCTGAAGAAATTCGCGTTGGGGCCGATGAACCACCGGCGTTATCTACATCTGTTCAAATTGCGTTACTTCCACCTCTTCCAACAGGAAACTCCGTCCGTTTCTCAAGTCGATTATTCACTACGGATCTTGATGAAAATTCGCCACCGGGAACCAAGTTGAAGCTACCGAATGCGGAAGTCATTGGGGAACCTGGAGAGCTGTTCACCTTAGAATTAATGCATAACAACGGCACGTTTGATATATTGCCCAGCGTTATTAAAGGAAGGGGAAAGTTTTCCATAGCCGTGCGAGACTCTAGGCTGCTGGATTATGAAGAGGCTCACACCGTGCATTGTGTCATTGTAGCCAAGCAGTTGGGCAGCGAAAATAATTCTATATCGGCACCTCTGATAGTAACACTCAATGATGTTAATGATATTCCGCCCAGATTTCACCAATTGGAGTGGAGCTCGTCAATCCTTGAAAGTGCCGAAATCGGTACTAGTGTATTAAAAGTTGAAGCCACGGATGTAGAAACAAAATCGGGAGAGCATGTCAGATACACACGTTTGATAGGGCCAAACAACACGTTTTTTAATTTAAATGCCAATACCGGTCTCGTAACAGTGGCAGAAATGTTGGATGCTGAAAGCATATCCAAATTTGTATTTACAGTGGAGGCTATCGACGACGATGGCAAAGGCCTTAAAGCAAACGCTTCTGTGGTTATTGAAGTCATCGATGTTAATGACGAAATACCAAAATTTGAAAAGAAGTTCTACGAATTCATTTTGGATAAAAATCGAAAACATTTCACCTTTCCAGCGTTTATCAAAGCCATAGACTTAGATTTAATGCCACCGAATAACGTGGTACACTATGAACTTATAACACCTGTCTCAAATTTAACATTAGACAAAAATACAGGTGAACTAAGAGTAAAAACCACGTGGAATCACAATGAGATGGTAATTGTAGAAGCTCGAGCATGGGACGATGGAGTGCCTAGATTGTCAGGCAAATGTGAAATTCGGATTTACCCACCAGGAAGTCGTACGGCAACCATCACGTTTATTGTTCCAGGTCTTAATCCCGATCGACAGGAAATTGAAACCACGTTACAGAAGTTAACAAAATCTAAAGTTATGGTTGAAGATATTCATCCTTACAAAGAAAATGAGGGCGAAGCACTGTCAAGGTTAGACAACGTTCAATTACATTTTTATATTCTAATTTATTTACATCTCTTGCAGTAGTCAAGTGGTTGCAACGGTTATATATGGTCCCGATACAATAATCGACATTGCAAAAATAGAAGAGGTCTATCGCTCAAGGAGACGCGAGGATATAACTGAAGTGGCAGGTATTGCGTGGCCGTGGTGGATCCTTATTGCATTGGCTATAATTCTTTTAATTATAATTATTATACTGATTTGCTGTTGTATATGTGCGCCATGTCCGTTGTATATTCCTCCCCGTAAACGAAAGACAGGATCTGCAGAAGTATCAAAGTTAATTGTGCGCGGTTCTGGACACGGATTTTCGAGTAAGTCCGTTCAAGTTGCGGAATGGTTTGGTCGAAGAGAAGCTTGGACACCAGATGGCGCTGTGGTTGAGAATGAAGCTGAGTCATTGCGACGCCATGAGTTTGAAAGGGGATCTGAACGAGGAGGAAAACGCGTTGTTCATAAGACGCAGCTCATCAAAGATGATCCCCGTGAACAGCTTTATATCAGAGAAGGCAATACTGATATACTTAGATTAATTACTCGAGGCGGGGAACAACACAGACCTAACACATTGGTTGAACAATCGGTTGGGGATGACAATGGCAAAGAAATTCTTATGCGAAGATTTATTGATCAACAGCAGATGACATCAAGGGCGCCTCCGGCAACCTTGCCCAACGAAATTGCCCAGAACCAAAACGAGCACGATCAACTGGAAGCTACTTTAAGAGAGCAGAACAATTTATTAAAACAAATTCTTTTAGAACGGGAAAGAGAGGTTCGACTAGAAACACAATCTTTACCCGCCGGTACACAAACAGACAGAGACGCGTTTACACAAACGGAACCTCGATATTTACGGCCTCCGAGGCGTTTAATTAGGTCGGATAATGATGCAAGCGATGGAAGTGAAGATGAAAGCTATGGAACGAGGAAAAGGAGAACCTCGACATACGCGACAGTACGAAAAAAAGACGGGCCGCCTTTTAAACGAAAAATACGCACACCTATTCAAGAAGAATCGGAAAGTAACGTTGAAACTGCCGAATTACAGGAAGCTTCTAATAGAAGCGATCTAGATCGACTGCGGTTGCAAGTCATCAAAGAACTCCTAAATGAACGATCTTCCAAAAATAGGCCGACGCGATCCGCGATCCGTAAGGAGGTTTTAAAAGAAATTGCGGCGTCCTTAATGAATTCAGACGAAAACGACAGCGATCACGAATACGATGGACCAGTCGGTCAAACACACCTGTACCGACATCTTTCCGATGATAGCCTTGACAAGGTCACCTACGTTAGAGGAACTGGTAATAAAAAACCTACAGAGCCCCAGCGGTATCACTCTGAGAATGATCTTCAAAACTTAGCAGATATAGAAAATCTACATAAGGGGCGTACAATCAAATCCGTAAGTCAGTCTGATATAATTAAAAGATCTAAAACGAGAACAAACCGAAAGAAAATTGAAAACTTAAAGCCACGTTACATGGAGTGGTACGAAAAAATGCAACAAAACAACTCCGCTCGACTAGAAAAGGAAAAACCGGGAACTTCCGGTGTGAGCTCGAGGCAAGTGGCGATGGAAGCTAAGAATCAAAAACGGAATAACCACACGACCGCATCAGAGACCTCTAGTCAAATAAGCAGCAAGAATGGGCCGGAACATCGATTAATCCAACATTCTGCAAATAGATTCGAACCTCCGCCTTTGAGCAGACGAGAGGACGATGCCGATTCTGGCATTGCTTTGGTACGGCCACCAATGGCGGAAAAGAAGAGTGTATTTTCGATAGCGTACGCTGATATACAAAGGCAAACGCGTCAATTAAGGCCGGAAAGCGGGACGCCTCCTACTTGAAAAATTAGGAATTATAAGTAGGTACTCCATTGGTTTAATTCTTATCCGATAGGTAAAATTCAACGATGAACTAGTGTAATATGTCGTTAAATCAATGAAGTAGGCACTTTTATTGTTAGTTGTAGGCAGTTACTCAAGGGTCAGGTTATATCTAGAGTATAGTATTTTGATACAAAGACATCGACGTTATTTTTGCCAAGTTGCCAATAAAAGGTGATACCTAGTGATTTTAATTTTGTAATGCGCGTGTTTTGAAACTCAATGCTTTTGGAATGAGGGTTACCAGTAATTGGGGCTGTGACAGAATAGTTTTTTTTTTAAATCTAGTATCTTGGGTTCATACTGTTGAGCACGACAGATATTTGTAACGTGCTTGCATATAAGGCTGAATATATGTTCAAGTTTGTATTTAGTAGGTAATTATACTATTAATTGTTTAATAAACGTATAATTTTTTTATTATTACATGTTGCAATGATGCTAGGAGGAGTTGATAATCGGTTGGGATTGAAAAATAAATCAAACAAATATAGCAAACGAGCTTCTGGGTATGGATTGGTTTGGTATTATCACAGACAACAGGATCCTGAACATCGGGAGAAAACAGCCTTTAGAATAGGGTCGGGGACTCGGGGTTACGGCAACTGACCATGTGCCCTTTGGTTTGTGCAACGCCCCCAAAACGTGGATCCCGATAAAATTCGATCAGTATAATAATGGGCCCAGACAAAAGATAAACACAAAATACGGAGTTTTTGGGCCTGTGCACGTACTATCAGCGATTTGTTCGTGGATTTGTCGATATTGGAAATGCCAGAAAAAACCGCTCGAGAACAGAAAAAAAAGCTTGCGAGCGGGAAACCCCTCATGAGCGGAAAAACCGCTCGCAGGAAGAAAAAAGCGCTCGAGCGCCCAGCACTTTAAGTTAACGAGCACCAAGCGGCCGCTCCGAAAACTGCTCTCGAGTGAATGGCTCGCAAGCACTTTATCCGCTTGGAGCGCTTTTTTCGAGCGAAACGTTCGCGAGCAGTACCCAGCTCTGGGTGCCGGAAACTACAGGAAAGAGCCCAACTTTCGTGTTGTTTGGCCAGGAAATCCGGTTACCCTGCTATTTTAAATTTGGTATACAAGACCTGGCCAGGAAGAAACTGCGGAGAACGAGTACGTGGAAAACCTGTGTCAGAAATTGGGTGCCATCCATTCACCATAATATGCAGCAAGCGATAGATAGAAAGTGCACTACGACGTGAAGGCGCAAGCTGGTAGTTATCAACCCAGAGATTTGGTTTGGTTGTATCGTCCCCAGAAGAGACGGGAGTATCATCGAAATTACAAAGAGTTTGAGAAGGACCATATACACAGTTGTAAACATGATAAGATACGCAAACTGTTAGCTGTTACACGGGTCAGAACGAACCAGAGGAACATCCAGAAACGGAGAATGTGATAGAAGTGACGACAAACCATTTTTAGGGAGTTAATGGCACATTACTCTGGAACGCAAAAGGCACGCTTTGGTGTTGTACGTGAAGAATCTAAAGATTTGTTTGAAGCACCACTGGAATACGCTTTGGCTCATTGCGTAGCCAAGAGTGTTGAGATGTCCCAAGGTATTGCCGTAGAATTCAAGTTCCTATTTGGGCGAGTTTAGAGAAGCCTAGGTGGGTACAATGTTTTCTTCTACAGGAACAGGGACGATTTGTTTATTATGCGGTAACAAAAAGATCGGTCTTGTGAATAACCCTACACGAAGATCTTTGGAATGCACTTCAGCACTTGAATCGGCAACGACAGATTCATGGCTTTCCAAATCTAGCAATTCCGAAGTTCGGATGTGACGTTGATAAGTTGAAATTGCACGTGGTGGGTAACATGCTAGAGGTGCTATTACAGGGCACCGGGGTGGAAATATTGGTCTTCTCCTTCAACCCCAGAGCATCGTGAATACAATGCCCAGAGAAGCATCCCGATAGACATCGAGGTACCACAAAAGATTAGTCATCGACTCATCGGCGATAAAAAACGAAACGAAAGCGGATATATTAACGCATTCTTTCCGGAAAATAGTGTTTGTTCAAGAACTTTCTAGAATATTCGGGTCCGTTCGAGAACTTTCGAGAAATATGGGTGTTTGTAAAGTATTAAGCTTCGGCTCGTGTTACGTTATAATTGTGAGTGATAAATAATAATTACTGTTATAAGTTAATGAATTTTAAAGAACGTGGTTACATTTGAGTTGCATGTACATATTTCTATGTGACATTACACAGTCCGTTGTGACACAGGTAACTATAATTGTGAAATGGCGTGTATCGTTCTAAAATTTTCTCTTATGAGTTACGCCCTAAATAATATGAACTGAACTTAGAAGTAGGTAGAATTTGATCTCGATTGTTCCAGTATGTTCTACAGCACAGAACAGTAATAATAAAAGGTTCAGTGATACCTAGCACAAACAGTATACTGTACCTACCGAATCCGAACGCGAAGCGGTTTACCTATATAAATTTGAAAACTTTTCTTTTGTGAATGGACGTTATAATATTTAACTACTATTTCCACCTACGAGTTTTTATTTTTACTCGGTTTCCAAATTTGAAATTATTAAATGAAAAATAATCGTGACAACACTGTATTTGAGTTTAAAAAAGGTCAACAGCGCCAAAGATCAAATTAAATTATAACGGTTTTTTTTCAACGTGGTTTTTGAGTTAAATTGTTGATAAACGCAAACACACTGTTTGTTGCAATGGATAGTAGCAATAACCGATAGTTCGATAAGAATTAAGAAAAAAAATAAATCAAATCCACTTGACAACGCATTTATTGAAGAGTTCTGTTAAATTTCTTGTTTTTCAAAGGTAAACAAAATATTTACATTTGATGAAGGTAAGGTTAATTGTGTTTATAAACAATGCTTGTAGATGTTGATCGAGTTATTACGGATTCAAGATATATGCGCTATTTTGGCTTTAATTATAATGTACATTGTGGTCGGATATCGTCCACCTTGGCTATGGAAACATATTGAGAAGAGACAAATGACAATTGCTGACATTCCGGGACCGTTATCAATACCTTTCTTGGGTACCCGTTGGATTTTTTGGTTCAAAAATTACTCAATTTCGAAATTGCACGAGGTATATGCCGACTTATTTTTACAATATGGCCCGATTATAAAGGAGGAAACGCTGTTTAACATTCCTGTTGTTAGTGTGGTTAAACGATGTGATATAGAAAGAGTATTAAAGTCTAGTGGAAAATATCCAGTTCGTCCACCAACCGAAGCAATTGCTCATTATAGAAGGAGCAGACCTGACCGATATGCCAGTGGTGGAATTGTGAATGAGCAAGGTGTCGTTTGGCATCATTTACGGATGAATCTCACCTCCGAGTTAACAAGTACAAGAACCATTGCTGGCTTTGCACCTGTAATTGATCAGATTGTGGAGGAATGGTGCAGTTTAATTAAACTGCAGCGTGTATCAGGTAATTTTTATTTTGTGCAGGAACCCATCAGTACAAATGTATACACCTATTGCCCCTTTTGTACTGTTGGTAATGGTATTGCCTTAAGGATCTAGGGGAATTACAGAGTATAATGCCCTTTTTTTTAAAGTGAACATAGAGATAATTGGATTTCATGACCACTTTTCAAAAAAATGCCCCGTATACTGGGCCGTGGGAAAATACTACTCGGGTTTGTTTAGGAAAATTATAAACTTAAATTTGATTCAATAATTAAATACTCGATTAAATATGTTTTTTAATCAAGATTTCAGTTGACCCGGCCTAGTAATTTGAGATGGATGGCAGCTCTGATTTTCATAGGTCCTTGCTCGGGTCCATAAAAATCTATTTCTTCCAAGATTTCTTCTCTACTTTCTGAATTTTAACTGCCTTTGGCATATACATTATTCAGCTCAGGTCTTAAGAATTTGCCTCGGAATTTGCTAATTGAAATATGACTCGAAATATCATGATGCTGCATGACCTCAGTGTACCCATGCTTTAATGCTATGCGAATTACGACAAAATAATGAATAGTCTGATGTACTACTTAGAAAAATTAGATCAAATAAAACTCACTTATTATTGTATTAATACGTTAAATATGTAGGTATATGGAGAATCTGAGAATATGGCGATTTTTAAATATTGTAAATGGATTGAAATTAAATCTTTATTTTTACCTAGATTTAATAGCAAGAAGTTGGTCTTACAATAAACTGTTTTGTGTTTGTGTTGGGACGCATATATTAATACTGGGGGATAAATTTGAAGCAATGAAGTAATCTGAACAAACAACGTCATTTCATCATTTTTATGGAGAACTAGATCAAAATGAAAATAATTGAAAAATCTTGGTTATTTGGTTCGTATTTTGGCTATGGTGTATTAAGAACTTTTGTATAGAATTTAATAAGCTGTCATATGATATAATAATATACAGGGCGTTCCATATGAAAAAGTCCCATTTTTGTTTTTATCTCAAAAATGCGATGTTGTTTTGTATTTTTAATTACAGATTTGGATTCAGTAGAAAAAATACATGGTATTGTTTTGTCATCAAAAGAAGCGACCAAATACGGATTTTCAATAGTTATTTGTTTCATTAGTACAAAAAATGTCAGTTTTCGGGACGAGGAAGATAGTTGCTGGACGACGCGTTAGCGGAGTCCAGCAACCTTCCGAATCCCGAAAACGCATTTTTTGTACGAATAAAACATAAAATTTTTTCTCCAACCCCCTTTACTTCAAATTATATTCGAATTTAGATTCAGTCACAGTTTCACTACTAGTATAAGAACTTCTGCTTTCTTGTCCTCACGTGTCATACCACTCTTAGTTTTTAGGTTAACTTATAACCTATTCGTTCTTACTTCTTACTTCTCACCTCTCGCGACTTTGTAGGGAGCAAATAAATCTTGAGGTAGCATATTCTGCCGTTTCTATAATCTCTGGCGGAGTGCAATCCATGTCGCTATCAGTTTCAGTCATTTTATTGTATACACAATTAATATTGTTATATTTTGTATTGACATAAAAAACTTACCATACAGTTTTTTAATTAAAATTAATTGCAATTAACTTTTTCAAATTTTGAATTCAAAATGACAGATAATAGTGCAATGGGTCTGAAGTAGATGGCGTTACGCGCGACGGCGGGTTGTATACGTATTAAAATTACGTTCACTGAATATGTAAATTACGTTACACATGGTTTAAATAAAAATAGGGAGCGTATATCAATTTTAATACATGTACTTGTACATACGTATAGGTAACAGCATTATTTGCATTGAATATGCAAAAATATTTGATTTGTATGTATAGAAATATCTTACAACCTGCAATGTAAAACGATGTCAATGTGACATACTCCGTGATTGTAATTTTTTAATTGGCCAACTTTCAAGGTCAATTTCTTTTTGGTACTAGGACCAAAAGTATCCACTTTTTGTACAGTTGCCATGGTGAAAGCGATTAATCCGCAAAACGCCAATTTTAGGTACCGAACACTGTCACAAAATAGCGTCTTATTCAGGTGGTTGGAGAAAAAAAGATTTAATGAATGATTGTTAATTTCCGGTATTCCTTTTTTATATTTTTCCATAAAAAACAATAACATTTGAAAATGAACGTTCCATACCAACTGTCTCTTATAGAAAATTTGATTCTGAACAAATCCATATCTATTCATTTTTTCGCCCAGGGCAACAGTTAACGAGATAATTGAAATCAAATGCGAAAAGAAACGACATTTTGTCATTTTTAGCGCATTTTTGAAAAAAATACGCTATTATATTCGTCATTGCTGGCAGGCCGGCTGTCCGCGTTAGATCTCCACAACTACAATAGCTAGAGACTTCAAATGTTCACTAAAAGCTTTCTGCTATAGTGTAGATATGCAGGCACTAGTCTATTTTGAGTTAGATTACTTGTGAAATCGATAATTGAAGAAAATAATTTCGATATGGGTTTCGGAGGTGCTATAATTTTACCGTTAGATAGCGCTACCAGTATAAAAACTTTAAAGTCACTAAATATAGAAAGTACCGCAATCCATTGGGCTCGTGTGTTAGAGAGAGAACGCATGATTTTTGCCCAAAAATGGCGGAAGTTACCAGATTCTAGTTACTTTAATGTTAGGGATTGTTCCACCTGTTTGGAGATATCTGTATATATTTTTATAAAACATGACAGTACTATGAAGTTAGGTTATAAAAAATGACAGCTATTCAGATTTTATTTGTCAATTTTTTTAAGTTGGTAGCAAATTTGCCCAAAAATGGCGGATGATTGCGGTACTTTCTATATCTAGTGACTTTATTACAAACCATAGATATATAAATACCTAGATACAGCCATCCTTAACAAACGTACCTCGGTTTTTAAAAAACATATCAAAGAAATTTGTACATCTCTCCATTACTTTCTAACCAAGAAGAAACATGTTCTATCTCATTTTATTGCATTAACCACTACGTCGTACGCGAATCGGACGCTTAAAACAAACTTAGCGCGTCCCATAAGTCATGTGACAGTTGACACATTTCACGATCGCGCGAAATCAAATCTAACTAAAAATATTCGCCCTAAACATGATGGACGGTTTTTTTCACTAAATATTATGTAATTATTGCGTTATCAAATGTATATGAATAACATTAGTGCTTGCCATAATGATAGACGCGTCCATAATTGTTATTCCTGAAATAGTTTTATTACATAGAGCTACGCCATTTAAATTTGGGACTATGTTTACGTTGTTTGGCATGATGTGCTGCAGTGAATTCATTGCTGGCTTGCAGAATATCAAAAAAACCGTAAGTAAGTAAAGTTTATGTTCAACATTTTAATTTTAATTGCATGATTTTAGGCGTAATGGTAACGGAGATTAAGTTGCGACAGGAAGTGAATTCGTTTCCAATTATCATTTTGGCCTATATAATGTTGATGCAGTGCGTTTGTATCATGATCACAGGATCCGTGCAATATTCTTAGGAAAACGAGATTTATAGACTGTGTGTGCGTGCAATATCAAATTTTTTATCGCTACGCGTCTTGCCTACCTTTCGGCATATGTCCAATCGGTGGGGTTTCTTTTTGAAATTATAGTGCTAATTGTAGTAAGCAAGCTACACGTGTACATTTATTTAAAATAAATACAACTTCTTAACAATGATATCCAATTGGTGATAATACTCATTTAGCGAACATTCATTACGTTTCTAAAAGTTCACAATCCGAATAATCGTCAGATGAAATTGACAAATCCGAATCATCACTGCCATTATTAACACTTATTATAAAGTTCAGAAACATCAACCAATATAACTTCTCTTTTAAATTAATCACTTTCCACATGTTCACACACTTTCTTCGAGTTGTCAGCTGTAATTTTTTCAAATTCTTCATTTGCCAGCTTTCTAAGTAACATCTTCCATTTTAAATGTAACATTTCTTGCTGCTAAGCGATTTAAATAAATAAAAGGGCGGTTTATTTATGTTGTAAAGTCCCAAATCTGATCATTTTCTTTGTGATTTGTGCTAACAATTTGATTGACAGTTATAATAAATAATGCGAATCTTGTCTTCCATGCTCAGGGTACCTCTATAAGGCTTGTCTCACAGTGGAAGCGTTTTCGCGCGAACTGGGATTCGTACGAATACGTACGTTTACGGACGAACTATTCAAACGTACGATTTCAAACGGACCTTCGCACATTAGCGATTAATAAATCGTCCGTATACGTGCGTGTAATTGCGACGTGCGAACCGATCCCATTTTGTTCGGATTTTTATGCGTATTCGCAGGTTGTAGACGATTGTGTTTGTGAACAGTTGCTCAACTCATAATGGATACGCAGCTAATGTGCGAATGCGATTTGTGCGTACACGGACGTACAATTTCTGACGTTAACATGCGTATTTCAGTTCGCGCGTAAACGCTTCCACTGTGAGACA